TGTGATAACATAAATCAATATTAGTATCACAATTTTTTTAAAGTAACTTTTCAGAGCAGAACCATATTTTAATGTGAATTACTCATGTCCCCATAAAAGAAAAAATATATAAATCCAACCTCCTTAAACATTAAGGTTGAGAGAAACTAAAACATGAGAAAAATAGGATGAGTCCTTTAGCTTGGGCTAGTAAGGGTCTTAAAACAATGACCACATATGAAGAATAAACACTTTATGGGACATTAAAAGTGTACTGCAAAGCTAAAACAAAAATTAAGTTAAACCCAGAAATATGCTGGAGACCTCCCCCAATAACAGATTGTGAACTCCTTCATCAGATAATTACATTTAGTTTTAGTTTAATTTTCCCCACTCTAACTTTAATGCAAGTCATATCACAAATATTTGTCAAGCTCCAATATAATCAGTGATACTCAGAGGAAAGAGGAAAAAATGGACCCTGCTCTCAAGTTTATAATCTAAGTAGACAAAAAGAGGTGATCAGAAGATCACAGGGCAGTGCAATTTTTCGTTTATTTTTCAGGAATCAGTTGAAAAGGTTGATAGACTTTGCTGGAAAAGTGTGCTTTTGAAGTGGGACAGTACAAGCACAGCACCCTGGACACATCACAAAAAAGGGGGTATTCTGGCATGTCCAGTGAACTTGAGTGCCAGGGACAGGGAGGGGAATTAAAAAAAAAAAATTATTACTATGGCTTCTTACAAGAGTTGCTCTGACGGCAATTGCCATGACACAGGGCTCTGAAATCACCATTACAGCGCACTGACAACATAGCAAAGCAATTTCATTTAAGCAGACTTAAGCAGTCCTGCAATGAACCACAGCAGGTATATTCCTGTGCCTGCACAGAGACCCACTGACTTCAGTTCATATCAGTTCAGGGGACCAATCATGCAGTTTATTGCAAGGTCTGATTTCTGAGTTGAATTCTTCCGTAATCTGGTCAGCACATACTTCTAAGCTTCACTCAATTTCCATGTTGGCTTTGCAGTTCACATAAGAGATGGCCTTCATTTTGCTCAGCACAGCATTCAGAAAATTCACACGGTATGAGCATTTCTCACAACACCAATTTATTTTTGAAGTGTTGAGAGTCCATCTAATCAAAAGTGACCTAATTTGAGCCAACAGTATAAAGACCAAACAACAGTTAACGAACATGTACTTTTGGACACTAACAAGGAGCTACAATGAGGGGCTAAAAACATCATTTTCACATCTAATGAAGTGAAGCCTGGCAGCAAATTGGACCACTCCATTACACTAAATTTGTCAACTGCAGGTCTCTTTACCTACATATAGTAAACAACGTGCTGCCAGTGTCTAATTCCCATGAAGCAACTCATCAGCAAATATTTATAGTAAAAAGTTTTATAATACTCAGCTGCCTATTGTACATCATGCTCTAAATTAAAGGTTTAAACTTTCACACCAATTCAGAGTATTCAAACATATCAAACTATTTGAACATAGCGTTATCTAATTTGAAAAAAACATGTTTGTCTAAAGATTCTTACGGTATGACGCATTTGTCAGCATGAATGAATGCTGATATATTTGGGAATAAAGTTCAATTACAACTGATACTTCTGAGTTGCAAGATGGTGGCAGCCATCTTGTCAGCCCGTCAGGAGAGGAATTATGCCTTCATGTTTGTACAGAGCTACCAGAAGCAAAATAATCTGATTTTTTTCAGTGTGACACTCCCGTGTAAGGCTAAAGAAACTTCTATTCGATAGTTGTTTAACAAAAAATGAATGTTTAATACTAAAGCAAAATGCTTATATTTTAAATCAATTCCATAAGGAAATATTCAAGCAATGACCTTTACACTCCCTTACAAGGAGCTGCCAAAGGAGTTAGTCCTAAAATATTTTTTTTAAACGATTAACAGCAGTGTTTTGCCAAAATGTTGCCTTGTTGTCCATCCTATTCATAATTAACAGTCAAAAGTTTAGTTTAGTTAAGATGGCACTAGCAGAAGGAAAATAACAATTGCAATAAATGCTATATTCCTTATTTCAGTTTGTTGAATTACCTAATGAATTTTCAAATTCTTGGACTGAGCAAAATGGCCAGTAACTTTTTTATTCATATTTTAACCTATGCAATTGAGGATGCATTAACTTTGCAGTAGATAGTGCTGATGTTCAAAAGTCAGTCAATATCCATAACTACAAGATGTTAACAAGTGCTGCAGGTTAGAAAAATAATTATCAAGAGAGTGTTGTAGTTACTGAACTACTGGTTAATATTCTTCAGACATCTTGCTGCAATGGTCGACTGTCCTGGGATTACCCCAATTCAGCACACTATAAAGACATGCAGATGAAATTCTTTTCTCTGATTCTGACTTCTGCCGAAGGATGAAATTGAACGATGGCAAAGTGACAAGCTCTCTATAGTGCTACTGACGGACTAGCACCACAGCAAGCCAACTATAAAGGGCCTAGATTTGCAATTTACAATGCAGGACAAGAGTCCTGCACCCAGACTTTTCAGGACTCTGTATGAATGCAGGGGTCTCCCATGCACTGTAAATTGCAAACCTAGTGCCCCATTTATTAAAAATGCAATTGCATTTAGTAAGTTTGACACTGGTTTTAAAAGTTAATACATTTTAAAAATTCTACCTTGAATAGAATACCTCCCCAAAGCTGAATTAATGAGAGTAGTTTAAGATTATTTGAAACGGTGTTATCTATAAAGCAGTACAATATTTTCCCAAAATGATCAGTGAAACATTTAATCTGACTATAACAATATTCACAGAAACTGAAACCAGTGAAGCTGTCAAATATAAAGAAAAACACAGAAACTTGCATGGCATATGAAGCAAAATAGCTTTACAAAATGTCATTTCTTTTTAAAAACAAGCAAATTGGGACCATCCTATTTGAACATCTATTCAAAATACATTTTTGAACAGCACATTGTTTGCATTTTTGTCACACAGGAATCTTTTCCCGAGGGAAATAAATAGCACACAATACTTCAAAAATTCTGCTGCCTTGCCCCTGAGGTGCTAATGTTTTTAGCATTAAAAAAAAGTTTAACTGGTGCAAAAAGGAAATGCACAAAGGTGCAAAAGTGCCTTTTTAAGATTTTTTTTTTTTTTTTTTTTTTTTTTTTTTTTT